ACATGAGCTTGTGTGGATGGACAGGAGATACCTAATGATTAAGGGGAGATCAAAAATTAATAAAAATCAAGGTTCTGTTAAACAATATCATCCACATTTGTGTCGCCTTGTGTGCGTCGTTGCACGCATCATTTGCTCCAGAAAGCTGTGAAAAAAGCAGATCATGTGAGAGAGTTGTGAAAAGAGAGGCGTTATCAAGGTGGACTGATAGGTTGTGAATTCACAACAAAAGCTTGTGAAAACAGGCACAGTGTGTCCAGAGCATAAGAATGAAGACATTTGAAAATGAAAGTGACCTTATAAATGTAAAATGTCAGTGGGGATGTGGGGCCACTCGTATGAGTAGCCAAAAATATATTTTATCCGGGTAATACTACAAGTTAAAATCATATGCTCTGAATAGGATACACTGATATTTTGTGAAAGAAGCCTCATGTTTAAATGTCACTGTCTCAGCTGGGAATCTATTACATTTTGCCAAGTCCTGACACTAAAACGGTGTTTTATTTTTCTCAGCAGTCTGCATTTTCATTAACCTTCATTAAAGAGTATATGAAAGATTCATAAGAATTCCCTCGTGATTTTGGATTAAAGCGTTAGGCATCTATTTTCAGTTTTTTTAGTAAGATGATGCCTCCTTGATGTTTTTTCTGTCCTATTTGTGTTCTGTATCTCCATAGCACAGAGTAGTCAGTAGGCAATGAAAACAGAAGCATCTTCAGAATGTTTAGATCTCCCTCCACTCTGTACTTCTGCGAAAGCTGTACAAATGAGGCAGTCTCACACCAGCAATCTCATTCACACAGCTTCTGCTGTCTCAATAAATGGCCTGATACCATAAAATCTGCTACTGGCCTCTTTGTACATGAATGTTAACAAACAGTCAGCACAAAGCACAGAAAAGCAGGCCGAGTGGTTTCACTGTCTCCTTTAAACCTATTTTCACAGAAAGGTGTCGATTTGATAAGTCGTCACTACTGGCATAGAAGATGTGTGGCTGTTTCACTGTTGCATGCAGAAGCGCATGTGGCTGAGTATGATACGGACACAACAAAGGGAGCGTGTAGGAGTGTGTTTGTGTTTATGTATGCCTGTGTGCACTTGTGTGGCTCACTGTGCTTTGTTGCATGCTCAAATGTGTGTGTACGTCTCTGTGTACTGGAGTGACTGTGTGTGTAATGTCTCTCATGCAGCCTCACTGTGTGTGTACAACATAGAGTTGACAGCTGGCGCAGCTGAGATCTTCAGTTTTTCTGCATTGAGATCTCTGTGGAAACAGTCAAACTGAACAACAGCAGCTGGTACAATTTCCAACACATACCTGTCACCATGGGTTATGGTGTCACCATGGAGACTCCACTCTGCGTAGTCAGTTCTTCTGTTAATGGCACCGTGCACGATTTTTAGCACAGTGCTGCTTTGACAACTTAAGTTGGCGTCGAACCCTAAAGCTGCATTACCTGTTCTAAGCACAATACTCATATATTATCACCTTTTAAAGAGATGTGGCTAACATGGGAGCTGTTACTTATTGACACATTCAGGAGATAAATAACATTAGTGTTAATTTGCAGTTGTCTTTCTTTCCATCTGATTAATGTATACTCAATATTGACTCTCCTTTTAGCTCTGCTTTGCTCTCCTCCAACCCCTGAGGGAAATATCTGGCTCTTTAGCAGCTAAATGCTCCAATATGTTCATCAGTTAGCCACTAACTTTTAATTGTCAGCTAATTGGTGGTGGGCAAGTTAGCGTACAGTGTAATTATCAGAACGTTTTTGCTGTATAGCCCACTGTGGCTGCTGGAACCAATGCTGATGAAAGCAGTGAGAGTTAACCATAATTTTAGAGTTGCAGGCCATAAAACCGGTAATCAAGTGTTCTTCATTGATGGTTATATATGGGTTCGTCTCTACAATCAACCCCTTTCACATTACACGTAGTCATTTCTTCCAGTGTTACTATAAAAACACAGAATGGTAGCAGCTTTAGGTTTTAAAAGAAGTTTCACTTTGACAAATTGTGGGAGTAGGTTTTCCCTGAGGGAATAACAGGGAATTGTGTGTTTAAATTGGTTGCGTTGTGCCACTGGGTAATGGGCCTCTATAAGCAGTAATGATGAAGGTCAGAAATCACCTGGAGTAGCTGTAGAACTAATCTCAAAGTCAGCTCATTCCACCAGATCAGAAAGTCACTTTCTTTGCCACAGTCACGGGTGTAAACCTCTTGCTAAAAGTAAAAAAGACAGGTCCTGCAGGTTTATCATTGGAGCTTTTTCACTGTACTTAGCTGTGTCGCTGTAACTCTGTTTCCTGTGCTGCTTTTTTGTGGTTCGCCTGCATTTGCTGAATGCACAGGCCTTTCATATGCTCACTAGAGGCAGCTGTTGTGTGGGCAGACTGAGAAACTATTGATAAATATTCTTTCACATGTCCCCATTGGTCGTGGCACTCAGTAAGTAGAACACTGTGATGAGATCCACTGGATGAAGGCTGTCCATCTGGTTGTATTTGTACATCTGGTCTGATAGATTCATTAGAGGTGTTTTTAGACATGGCACACTGGCTGACTGAGAGTTCTGCGACGACGTAAATTCATGAAGCATTAAATAAACTTCATTTTTCTTCTAAGAACTCCACTTTGTTTCTGAAGTGCACGTTGTTTTTTCGACAGGTCAACACTATGTTTTTAAATCTCTAGGAAGGGACCTGAGATAATAACGAGGTGTTTGTTTTTGTCTACTTTTTGCCACTGCATAAATTTTCCCCCTTTTATTGTTTCTGCTGCTAAAAATACTCAGGCACCAAGTGCAAAGCCAAGTTAATATCCTTATGAGGATGCTTCACGTGCCCAGTGTGCCCAAGCAGCTATTGCTAAGCTGAATAAGTCAGACACCTTGTTTATTCATCTGTTGAAGTCATCTGTCACTCAGCGTCTCTAGTTTTACGGCTTGCTTGATTTTTACAGCCAAGAATTTTTCCATGCAGTGATGTGTTGTTGAGTCCAGGCTATGAATAGAGCAATGACTTGTTCCAGTGGTTGACTAATCTATCAGTAGGTCTTCTCACCTAGAGCCTCTTAGAGGTCTTCCAGATATGGGAACATAGCTGCTGCTGATGACAGGAAGCTAATCTCGGAGCTGTCCCTGCGCGTGACGCGACCAGAAATGTGTCACTTGAATATGACCAATAGCAGCCAACCTGGAAATCGGTTATCAGCCAGTAGATTAATGTGAGTGGTGGAATTGCACCCTGAACCCTCAGCTGTGACCGAGTGTGACTTATGGCCTTTATGAGTGATATAATTTTCTGTGAAAAGCATGACTGTCATTGGCTGTTTCACCCGCTGCCTGGATATCTTTGTTCACTGGGCAGGAAGCAGCTAATTCATCTGATGACAGAAAGGTCATAGATGACTGAGTTTCATTTCAGCCCTTCTATTAAAGGTTATGACCTCAGAAAAACTTATTGCAAATAGTAGCCTTCGGACAATTTGCTCATTAAAGATGACCTGAAGTGTTAATTTATTGCCCTTTTTATAATATAGGACTCAAATAAAGTGTTATGTTCCAGTGGTTAGAGAGTCTAAAGATAATACCTGTTATTATGTCACGTTGTTAAATGCAAATATGCATCCCTGTCTGCAGCCCTGATATAGAAATAAATTCATTCCTAATGAATTAGTTATTAGCTAAAAAAGTGTCGGAGTACTGTATTTAAAAACAATAGGAAACTCTTATTAGCTGGATTATAAAGGCCAAATACAAGCTATAACCTTGCAAATACAAATGACTCTTGTGAGAATAAAAGTAGCTGAATTAAGCTTACTTGATTTGGTTGTTGAGAGAATATGTGCCTACTGCTGTGCATCATTCAATATTTTCATTCCAAATCAAGCTTTGAAGCAAATTTGTGTAGACAGCTCTTTCCTCCTTGCATCCCCCTCCTGTGCCTGTTTGGCTGAACACCTTACATAATTATCATTGGGCCTACATTAACATATGTATAACAATGTATGTGATGATTGGACTGGGTTTAAATTGATGCATTTTGGATGTTTTATGAAGGCTAAAGCATGTTCTATTACATATTTTCAAATGCCAGTGCAGACAAGTCTCAGTTCATGCATTCATTGGAATTCCTCCAGTGTCCTTGATATTTTTCATTGTCATAGTAGTCCTCCTCTGAGCTGCATGGGCAAATACAGTAAGCACAGAGGTTCTATGGAAAGTCAAAAAAATCCAATGCACTCAATTATGTATTAATATTTTATGTGTCTGGACGTGGACCTTTCAGATGGATGAACACTCTGTGTTTTTTCACGACTGGCTACACTGCTAACATCAGTTCTCTCTTGGACACCGACTTCCAGATGCACGAGTTCACCTGCTAAACTGTGCAAATCTTCTGCTGCTTTACATGCTCATATGTTGATAACAATATTCAGCCATCTATGTATTTACACAGCTAATTTATACTCCAAAAGAAAAGGTTTCATATAGAAGACAAATTGTAGTATATTGCAGTAGGGAATATGATGCAATGTGGAAAATACGTTAACAAGCAGAACGGAAGAAAGAGGACCTGCTGTAATAATTAACTGACACTGGCTCCTTCAATGTGTTTCAGTGCTGCTTAGATTTTTTGCCCAAAAACAACATTCAGTTCCCAATGTTGGAAAAGCTACAGAGTGGAATAAACCATGCCATGCTTGCAGATCCTCAAAATGAGTGCATTGGGATATTGTGTCCCAAAGTAATGAACAATTCAGTTCTTCATGATGGCATCCTGGATATCAGGTCTAAAGGTTGTTTGGACAAGATGTGCGCCTTACGATAGATTATTTTCATTGTGCATTACTATGCCAATTATTTTCTTGAGTTCCTAATGAATTGCTTACTTTGGAATATTTCAGAAACATGGGAAAATTGCCCATCACAATTTCCTAGAGCCTAAAGGCAGTTATTTAAATGACCAACAACAGAACAAAAGCGACAAAAATGTTCAGTTTATAACAGTGTAAAACAGAGAAACACAGGAAAATACTCAGAAGACGCAGCCAGGGGGTGGAGTGTGTCAGTGGCTTCAGGATTGCATCTCTGCTTTTTGTGGACGATATGGTTCCTCTGGCATCCTTGACTTGTGATGAATCAATTCTGGGATGGTCTGCAGCTGAGTTTGAAGCAGTTGTGATTAGAGTCCGCTGTTCCTGCAAGTCTGAGGCCATGGTCCACCGCCAAAAAACTCTGGACTGGTTGGTTTGGACTGTACAGCATTGTCCCTCTGTGTACAGGGAGTCGAGCTTGAAGCCAAAGATCTCGAGTTACTGGTCAATCAGCATCAACACTGCTTTAGGTAGTGGCATGAAGAATGATTTAGCGTATAAAGGCGGTCTAAATGAGTTTCCTTCACAGGGTGGCTGAGCTCACGCAGAGGGAAGCTTGTTTTCTAATGCTTCTTCACATTGAAAGGAGTCAGTTGAGGTGGTTCGTACATCTGATAAGGCTGCCTCCTGGATACCTCCCTTCAGAGGTCTGTCCAACTGGGCAAAGGTCCCGGGGGCAGTCCCAAAGCACACTAGAGGGATTACATATCCCGTCTGTCCTTGGAACGCATTTGGGTCCCCCAGGAGGAGCTGGCTAGGGAGAAGAATGTCTGGGCTGCCTTTCTCATTCTACTACCACCATGACCCAGATCCAGATCAGTGGTTAAAATTAGATGGATTGTAACTCAGATGATGATGAAAATAGTTGTTGATTAATGTTGAGTGACTAATCCATTAATCAAATACTTGTTTCAGCTCTAGCCCTCATGGTCACAATAGAATATCTCTCAACAGACCCACCACTGAAGGGGAGGGAGGGATGATTCTATTCATTGTACAATGAAACATTATTTATATATTTATATATATTAATGAAAAACTGATTTCTGTTGGGCTTTAGATTCTTGTTTATCACCGAAAAAAGGTGTGACCAGAGTATTCCATATATTATTGGTGTTTGTAGTCTGGCATGGACCCATCTTACTGATAAAAGGGGGGGATCATATTCAGAAGACATTATATCGTGTTGTCCATGGATCTGTCCCATTAGCCAGTTTAGATCCATTACTAGTACATGGTGTTTTTAATGATTGGTGGTTCAAGTGGTTTTTCTTTACTGGTCATGTCTCTCTGTATTAAGTTTAGTGTGTCTCCATCCTGTAAATGTGTGTCTGCTTTTGCTTGCATGCAGAAAGATAGTAGTGATAGAACTGGAGCAATTTTGCAAAAAACGAACGAAGAGGGGATTTCAGTGTCCAGATGTGCACAGCTGATATGGACTGATGCATATAAACTCAAGGATGTAATTTCTTGCTGAATATATTCCATTAAGTCCTGTAAGTTTGTCGTTCCATCTGGAATGTTTACAGAAATGTTGCCAGCCTCTCCGGTGGCCCGATCTGGAATTTAAAGATAATAATTAATAATTATATAAATATATATGTATACATATATACATTTATACATATATACATCTATATATATCAAATACTAGGTTCAGCTCTAGTCTTCATGGTCACAATAGAATATCTTTCAACTGACCCACCACTGAAATCTTCAGAAAGTAGAGGGGAGGGAGGACTGTGAACACAATATTGACATATTAACATGGCAAATGGGTTGGCTAACAGTAGATAATTTACACATGGTGCAGGCATGGAGCAACATTATCTTTCATTTGGAGTTGTGTCCACCTGACAAATGTCCAATAATTACTCTCTGAGGGAAGTAATCAGGCTCTTAAGTTTCTAAATGATCCAATTTCACCAAAACTCGCCAGTTGTCATTTTTTTCTGTCAGCTTTTTGTGGTCTTGTGCAGTGGAATATTATCATGTTTTTGGCTGAAACACACAGCTGGCTGTTGTTGACTGGAAACGATGCTGATGAGACCAAAGAAAGCGAACCAAAAAAATAAAGTTGCAAAGCCAAAACTGTCAGCTAAAAGATGCTAAAACTCTGAGCTGAAGGGAACAGTAGAGTTGAATAAGGATTCTCTGTGGGATGGCCACTGCAGCGGCACCTTTCACATTACATTATGTTTCACATTTGATCCATTATTTATATGAAAATATTGATAAGAGCAACTTTAAGTGAACTTATGACATGCCAAAATTAAATGAGGTATTTTTCTATTATTAAAGGATGAAGCCTTCTCAATGTACGCTGCTGTGAAAATTATTCATCAGATGTGCTGTTTTACAATTTCTAACACAAAATCTTTTCTGCCTCAAGGAAAAATGTTTATGGGACAGTGAGGAATTTCAGTCAGGACTTCTTCGTTTGAAGTCAGCTGTATAACTTTCTGCATTATACTGTATGTGGTATAAAAATATGTGGAATGGAACCGGCTCAGCTTAAAAATAGCTAATTGCTGGTAACACTACTGGACACATGTATCTGTTGGGTCTGGCTGTATACCATCATTACATCATCTTGCTCCCTTTTAGAGTGGTTTGTGATTCCCTGGGAGACCTCCAGTCATAGTGGCACTGCCTTGCAGTACTGGCAATTCAGGTAAAGGCCTTTGGAGGAAAAAAATACATCCATCTGGACACAGATGGAGAGAAGAGGTACAGATTGTAGCGCAGTAAGAACACACACACACAATGCACCAAAAAAGCACAAACATGCCAGTACAGCTAGTGGGTTAAATCAAAAACAACAATTTTCCATGGGTTATTCAGAGAGGCAAGAAGTAGGTATTTGATGTTAGACACATTAGGGTGGGGCGCACATTGCTACATGTTTTTATGCCCAGAATTCCTAGCAGCATCCCTGTGTACAGTCTCTGTCCTCCTTTCTTTCTTTCACAGACTCTGATCTTCTGGCCCGTGTGTTTCCTTTTTATGCTTTTGAATGTCTTGGATAAAACGTTGACAATGATCAGCCTGTAGACTGACAGGGGTAATATCAAATCAGCAAAGAAAGACGAACTGACACTTTGCTCAGTCTGTCATGTGGCACCAGAGAGAGAGAAAGAAAGAGAGTGAGAGAAATCCCAGACAGATGGATGTTGATGGGCTGCAGACATCTCAGGAAAGACAGACTGATGCAGTCCGTGAAAGGGTGTGCGTAGGTGTGTTTGATGTAACCCCAGACAGTTGTGTTACACCGACAGCAGAGAGGAGGAGGACTTTTTGGGGAGAAATACAGCTGCAGGCTCAAGCTTGTGTGAATATTTGCATTAGTATTCACATGTACTGTCAGAGGAAGGTTTTGATAAGGCGTCTGTTTTCCAAAAAGGGAAGCAACAGACTCAATTTGAAGAACTGTGTTTACAGGGGGGACTGAAGGTAAACATGTTTTTGATGTCACAGACTCCAGATAACAGCGCCACTCCTTTCGTGCCATGGTTAGAACGGAAATACCTGCGAAGATGAAGGTGTTTCATTGTACTCTGATTTGCTTTATTCTAATAATTTGTGTGTTAATATGCTAAATGTGAAGTCAAGTGATGCAGCTGCGATGGTGTGGCATATCCGGTGGCATGCTACAATTTTGGTAATCATTTTGGCATGAAATTGCGCCTGTTTTTCTGCTTGCTGAGACGAGGTCTTATCTCAAATGCAAACTTTTTTTTTTTTGTTCCTTTCATAGCTGTTGTTAGAGAATGAGCAAAGATGGATATCTTCAAGTTTTTCCTATCTCACTTTGGTATAAATTTTACAACTGAAACGATAAGTTGCTTAAATGTTAAGTCTATCAACATGAAAATAATCAGCAACAAGTTTGATTATCTACTTAAGGGGAACTCCACCAATTTTACCCATTAAAGTCTATTTACAGGTCATGGTGAGTACTACTACTGTATATAAGCCTTTTCTGGCTCCAGAGGGATAAACTGATTGATAAATCAGTCGGGGTTGTTGACCATTCCTCATCTCTGCTTGAGGCTACCAGCTAGAGGTTTCAGTATCCTCAACTGTCAGCTGTCAAGTTGCATTGTGGGTAATGTAGGCACCAGGTTTTGACAAGGAAATGTAATACATGGAATGAAAAAAACAACCATATTTCTGATGCATCACTTTTCCTCTTCTTTTTATACTGTCCATATTGATTTCAACAATGTAAAGGAGTGCAGTATATTTAATTGTAATTTTGAAGCAAAAATGCCAAACATTTCCTACTTCCAGCTTTTCAGTTATGAGGATTTATGGCTTTTCTTTGTTGTATGTGACTGTAAACTGAATATCCCTTGGTTTGTCTAAAAACAAACAAACAAACAAGCAATTTGATGATTTCTTCCAGACCAAATGAAAACTAATTAATTAAGAAAATAATTTGCAGATTCACAGAAAATTAAGTCCCAGCCCTAATACATTTTTGATGAAGTACACATGCAACATTTTAATACAATTTGGGCAGAGTTTGTAGAGAGTTACATTGCTGGATAACTCTTGTGGAATAATGGAATGGAACGTCATTGTTTTCTATAACTTTGCATCATTCTCCATATGCACGCATGCACCATTACAGGCAGAACACATGGTGACAGGATTGTCAGTGTCCTCAGATGTGTTGTTTCATCTTAAAAAGGGGACATGATAGGAATTTGGAGCATATTGTAGGTGTCGATTGTTCATATTTTAGATAGGTTTGCACTTCGGGACCTACTCCTAGACATGAACAGTTTTCACTTAGGGGAAGCTGGGCTGGACCGTTGGGCATTTAGCCCATTAGGAAACTGTCTGTGGCTTTTAAAGTGGACTAGAGGAGTGGCCAGTATTGTTGAACCACAGACTCCACCTGGCATACTAATCTGTTCATCCCACTAAAAGTATATTATGTTCCAGATTATTCTGCACTGTGACAAGATTATGTCTTTGTGTCTTTAGTCATCTAATTTGTGAAAATAAGTTGGACGAACCCATTTGTTTGTATCCAGAGACTCTGGTGTTAGCTAGTATCACCTCATAACACTTTGTAGTCTGTTTATTCTCCCTAACTGAAAAATATGACTTCATTGGACCTGCTAGATCTATCCCACAAACATATAGTTGTTAACATATGTACTAATAAAAGTGCAGTGCTTGTAGACTGCGAATAGATTCAGGGTTTACTTTAACATAATTGCCATGAATTGGAAGTATTCCCGGGCTGTTTTTCCACTTGTACTGTACCGGGGTAAAGAATAGCTCTATCACTGTGTCTGAGACCATTAACCCTCTGCTGCATTGCTTATTTAGAAACCCTGCTGGCAGAAGGTGACATAATAGATGGATGTCTTGTCCACTTGCCATTTCCAAGACAGACAGACAGACAGACTGAGAGAGAGAGACGGACCAACCAACATGCTGCATGCCATACAGAGGACAAACCCACAAAACTGCAGTGGAACACAAAGACAGACTGCTGAAAGACCATGCAGAAAAAGGCTCCATCTGTCCTTGTCTAATAGTGAATGGGGAAGAGATGCAGCTGAATGAAGGCAGCTATTAAAATCTCTTGTAAACACATTATAGGCCATGGTCTTGTCCAATATATAGAATGAGACATACCAGTGATTTAAGGGCTGGGCCGTATTCATAAATGCATGAAGCCAATCTCATGTCAGCATCTGCTGGCAACTTTCTGCACATCCCGATGTGCAGTAAATAAAGTAAATGTATAAAAGACTACAGAAGAAAAATACTCTTGCATGTGGAACAAACCATGGAGCAATCGGGATACTTGTGAATTGGGAACAGTATTCCTTTTTAATTTAAATGCACTTATTTTTCCTCAATAAAGCCTTTACTGGTAAAACACCATGAATGTCCCTCCTGTGAGGCAAGGAATAACAAGTTTCACTTTGTAGGTTGGAGACATAAATAAAACTGGGCTGTATCAAATGTAGTAACAATCACAATGCAAGATACATACTCTTTTTATATAGATTTTCAGTTTTTTTTAAACCAAAATAGTTTTTTTTAACCAATTTCAACTTTTTTTGTCTTTTGTTTCCATTTGCAAGATGACAGTTGTCAAAGTAATTATAGTCAATGAGATTCTCTTGTGACAATTAAAGCTCTACCAGTGCCTTTGCTTGAAGACAGTTAAGAGAAAATTGTGAAGGAAAATCAACTAAAAGTACTAAAAAACTGGATTTCCACCTGAATTTTTATGTTATTAAGTCAAAAATAACTGACAATGAGCCCTAGAGATAAATGTTAATGGTGAAAGGAAACTGAGAGATCACATTTGAATGGATAATTTTGACCTTTTATTGCAATGCCACAATAACATCAATTATGTAAATGTTTAAATGAAAACTGCAAAGATACATCATCCATCTAATAATTATCAGAATCATGTAATTATGTCTGAGATCTGTGAAGGGCAAAATTCAGTCACTCCATCACACCAACACACAGTTAAACACAAAGGACAAGAAACTCACAAACAATAAAAAAAAAATGTTTTCAGATAAACAGGACTGAGTTTGATACCTGAAATTGTGTCTCATCCCCCCGGTGAGCGATCAATAAAGCTGACAGGGCCCGAGAGAGGAGGATTCACACGGCATCATCCAGATCTATTGTACTCCATTGGAAAGCAGAGACATGCAGAAAGAGGTTTTTCAGAGTTTGATATGTATTTCACATTAGTATGGGACCTGTGCCTTCCAAGCCCTCCTCAAAATTACTGTATAAACAAGCTAGCATATATTTCCCTATGTTTTAAAAAGAGAGACAATAGCTGATGTATTTGCGTGTAATTCCGCGGGGTTTGGATCTGAGTTGCTTTATTCTGTGTCAGACTATTGAGTCTTTTAAGGGAACAGACTAATAAGTAAAATGATCAGGTGAACATTAAAGTATTTATAGAACAGAATACAGGCTCAACACCATTAGGCAGATTTGGTTGATTTGCATTAAAGCCCAGACTCTTTTATATTTTGATTAGTCATATAATGCGTGTGTGTAGACAGTCTGCCACATTAATAATACATTTGAGGTAGGATCTAGAAAATCTGGCCAACCTGTCAGGATAGAAATGTTTTATTTGGATTCAGAGCCTTTTTGGCGGTCATTATACTTGTCATGTTTTTAGGAACCATTTTTGGGGATATTACTGGTGAGGTGGCTTTTAATCAGATATCTTCACATTATTTGACAAGTTATCAGTCTTTTCTTAACATAAGCACGAGTTATGTTTTGTGTGTGACACAGACGTCTACTTTACCGTTACAATAAATATCAATACTTGAAAGTCTCTGTAAGCCTTTTCATTCAAGAGTCATCATTTTTCTCAAAAGACATTTTCCAGTGTATTAAATTCACCTGGAGTGTTTTCATGAGGCAGTTTCAATCCAGTTGCAAGGTTAGATGTTTCAATAAAACAAACAACCTGAGGTTCAGGAGGTCAGATTATGAAAGGCAAAAATTGCAGCATGTGGAGCATTTGATGAGTCAGTGATATTGATCAAACAGCTCTGTCAAATCCCTGCAGTTGTGGTAACAGTGGGGGATTTTGTACTATTGGAAAGCAAAGTCTTTAGATGCATATTGCTGTGTTGTCTCATCTAACCTGGTTTTTATTGTAACTCTTTAGGGCTCAATGCTCTGCCCTTTGACCCAACGACCAACAGCGACACTCTCCACTTCAACAGCTCAAACAGTCAGCTGTTGACAGACTGTCCTTCGCTGGAAAACACTGCTGAAAATGGCAAGAAGAGGAAAAGAACTAGCTTGCCTCCAGGTACTGACAATACCTCACTACAATACCAGCATGACACTACAGAATAAAGAAACCTGTCCTCTCTAGTTTTGCAATAATGCTCCAGTACTATTGTGTGTTGTGCCACACAGGCCCTACCTGGAATTACAGTTGCTCACTTTGTCTGGTTGGGGGTTTCTTGATGGAATTTAATTTAAATGCTACCAGCATCAAATAACTGCTGTTGAGAGATAACTCTAATCCTGTTATTTTGAGACTGTCTGAAAGAGGTAGCCTTGTTTGGTCTTTGCTGTTTTTGATTAGCTTGCTGTAGCCCGCGGCTCTGCTTGTCTGGACTGTTTGGAGGTCACACGGCTAAAACCAGGAAGCTGCGCGGCGGAGATTTCACATCCGCCTGCCTCTCACCATGCCAACAGTCCCGCCAATCAAAAACTCACATGCCTTCAGCTCTCTCACACATTGACCTGTTACATAGAAAATACTGTGTTGTTGTCTTTGTGTACACATGCATGCACTGTAGTCTCTGCCTGTGTGTGTGCACGCAAACACTCACCCAACAGGCCTAATTTTAATCAGGGCCAGTGTGCTGTCTAATTAAAGGAAGGCTTTCTAATTAATTGCATTATGAGCAGTAGAAAGAAGAGGGCCCTTAAGACACAAAGGTGTTGCTCCATGTTCTCATCTGTCGGGGTGACACTAATTGGTCTGGATTTACAATCTGGCACAGATACACAGGGGCTCCAAATGAACTAATATCAGTACTTGCAGGGCAGGGCTAAGTCATTGGTGGTGTTTCTAGTCGAACAACGGCCTGTGGACCCGCACACACTGGCTGGCTAAATGGCTCATTTTTCTCCTGCCAAAGACAGTCGCCAACAACTCCATCAAAGACTATATCTTTGTGTTCTTTGTGCTATTATAGATTTAATTCCCAGAGGTAGAGATAAGGTAGTCCACCTGGGGAGAATCTGCACATGAACCATCTTTCTTTCAGTCTCATTGCTGGCTAGTGTTACCAATTATGTAAGGTAAATAATGTTTCTCCCCAGTCAACAACAGTGTTGACCTTGCGAGAGCCATCCCTTTAAATCTTGAACAAACAAAGGTCCGCTATTGTGGGCAGCTGAGATTGCTTTTTAGTCCAAGAATAGATCTTGCTTCTTCATAATGATAGTGAAGATCTAATCAATATGATTATGATGATGTCGTCCATATGTATGCTATATATTTCTACACCTGTCCAGGGTTTGCTGTGCATGCTGGGATTTGCCCTTTGAGACCCACAAGTGGTAAGCAGTTTAAAACAAAGGCAAACATTGAGGAATGGTCAGTTTTCACATTACTTCAGTATTAGTTGTGGGTAACATGGATGAATTCCTCTGAAACCTAACCAACTACTGATATATAATATATGCTAGTATAATAAATATAATGAAAATTAGTTCAGAAATTGTTGATGGACAAAATAACTCAAGAGTAATGTCTGTTTCTGACTAATCCAGCAAATGAAATATCAAACATATCAAGGTACTCCCTCTTATTTATGAAAAACTTCAATATCATTATCAAGCAGTCCTGCACATTGATTCACAACAGAGTTCCTAAATGGCCTCCAGACGCAGAGATGTTATAGGGCAGCTATTTAGACAATATGTAGTACATAAAAAAAAAAAAAAAGAAGCTCACAATATTGTGCACAAACCCAAGGGCTGGGGTAACACAAGCTATTTGTAAATCCAAATGGGTTTGGAGAGGTTGTAGAACCTAATTTGTCATTCAATCAGAATTAAGTTTTTAATGAACAAATATATAGAATTGATATGTGTACAATGAAGATGAGAAATGTGAAAAGTCTTTGGCAATATAACCCCATCATGATGGCCTCATGTTTGAAGGGGTTGGTGAAGCCGTGATTAGTATAGGAAACCCCCTGATGGAGTCTAGACACTGGTGGTGATGAAGGAATGAAGCCAACGCTGAAGGTCTGGATGTGATGAGGAGTGCACTTCTGATGAGCTCAACCGGGGCACTGGATATTATGAACTGCAGGTGATCAGGGTGAAAGAGGGTCACATCGATTTTGTGCTGAAATGACAGCTGAAAGCAGCAGAGAGGAGAGTAGATTTAAAGTTGGACAGCAGCAACATGATAGGCTGGAGGAGATTGTGGCTAAGTCTGATTGAATTAACTGAAAGAGTAAACGCTCATTGTCAGTGAGAGAATTGTGAATGAATGAGGCATAATGAGAAGGTCTTCCTGCTTGAACTTTCACTGAGCTTCATGTTTCATATATGTAATCAGCACTTATAGAAAAGTCCATCAGAGTCTGAGATGGATCTCATATTGAGCTGAAGAGTGTTTAATATGCTGCAGTAGGGCAAAGCCACAAATAGTACAATTCAGAGGATTTCACAAACAACAGGCAGTTTCACACAGACACATGAATGATGAAACAGAGACCGAGGCGATACATAAATGTATCTACAGTCATGGGGAGGTTTTTTAGTGTGGGTTCACAGGAAGGTCAGGGCATGTCAGGGAGAATTTGGGTCAGGAGTAGACTTTAGAGTAGTATGTTATAGTACAAAGCAGTGGGCATAGGAACAACGTTGTGAGCCCAGACTAATACATTGTGGCAAGATAACACCATATAAAGAAAACATGATAAATTCTTTGATTTGAACTTAGTAAGTTACATCAAGTAGTTTATATAACTACTATTAACCTAGTCTCTTTTTAAGAAGTATTTTGTGAGCTGTAAATCTCTACCTAGTAAACCTGCTGGAGGCCTGCACAAGTTTTACAGCACTGTACGAAACGATTAAATAAAGACAAATACAGTGAGTATATGTGCATATATAGAAATATGCTCTTGCTTTGCAGGTCCTCCTCTTTGTCTTTTACCATTTCTTGTGTCGGACTTAAATCAGTTGCTTCTCAGATTAGAGGCTTTTTTCTTACATCCAGATGCTGCTATTTTCTCTTGGCCATCCTCTGATAATACAACCAAGGCTGCTTTAAGATGAGTAAAATCAGCTTCTTCTCAGTTCCCATTTTCGCTTTGTTGTTCTCCTCCCTTGTGTAGAAATATGAATTTGGAGGAGACCTACACCCGCTGCAACAAACCCAGTCAAAATAACTTAAAGAAAAGGTGCAACAGGCACATTTATAAAGGTGACCTTTGAGACAACAGCTTCAATGGGCATAGAAAGATGAGTCCCGTACAGTACTGTATGAGTCACTCACCACAGATTGTGTATGAAGAAAAAACAGATGAGCTTAGTGTGGTTTTCACATTTTATTTCCCTTTTTAAAGACACTTTCTTGGTCTTTATCAACCACAGTGTCCTCTGGAAGACTTCAAGACAAAACCACAAACAGACAGCTGGAAATGAATTCATTTTGTAAGTCCATTTTGTATATTGTGGTTTCAATGAAAATATGTCTCTGTCTGTGTGTGTGTGTGTGTGTGTGTGTGTGTGTGTGTGTGTGTGTGTGTGTGTGTGTGTGTGTGTGTGTGTGTGTGTGTGTGTGTGTGTGTGTGTGTGTGTGTGTGTGTGTGTGTGTGTTCTGCTCAGATTAAAGCCTGTCAGAAAGCCTTAAGATCAAAGCTTTTGTGGAGCACAAATCTGATCTGTCACTGGAAAAGCCACCCAGAGTCTTTTTTTCCTTCCATCTTAGAGATAGAGAGTAAAGTCACTCATCCATTATTTTTCTCTCTGTCAGTTAGTCAAGTTATGAACACTATTATAATAAAGGTGCCATTAATGCAGTATAAGTGCACTACTATCACGATGACACGTCTTGCTGTAGTTCTCTGCGTTCACTCACAGCTTAGAGGAAAAACCAACAGGAAACCTTTAAAGGAAATGTTGTCCAGATGGTTTGATGTCTTTCTATTAAGATTCATGTATTTATGTATGATGCATGTCTTGAAGCGGCTACCAGTGATTTGAATTTTATGAAACACAACATTGTCAAAGGAATGGATTTCATGCCCATTTGATCTACTGCATATTTAGTTTACCTATAACGTAGTGTGCTGTATGGATGAAAATGCCTTGCCTTGCCTGCAAAAAAGGACTAATCACAATCATAGACCTCGCTCTGAAAATAAGGGTGATAACCAAAAATGCAACTCATACATTATGGAATCATGCTCTGAAAGCTTGATTTATTGGGCTGATAGTAAAGGTTGACTTGGATGCAGAATTGTACATTTCTGTAACATCTAACATTCATTTTTTTGGGGCAAAATCTAGATTAAGAAGCTGTGTCTCTGTGGATTTAGAAGATACTGTATCTTGCTTACACAATTATAAGGCTGCAACCAATTATGTGAGTAATGGGAGAACAATGGTTACTTGTATTTAAGTCATGCTATCCAAAGTGCCCATCTGTTGGTCCACCACTTTGGACCACACTGAAATAACTCCAAAACTGTTTGATGGATTACCATAACATGTTCTACAGACATTCATGGTTCTGATGTATCCTAATGACTTTGGTGATCCCTTGATTTTCCTCTAGCGCCACCTACAGGTTGACATTTAATACAAAAAATATATTTCCAAATCCCCGCTCCACAGAGGTTGAATGTAATAACTTTGATATTCTGCCTTTTCATCCAGCAGCCACCTTTGGTTAATGGATAAATACCTGAAAAGCAAATGACTGTACTTTGTGTTTACTGCTAATTAGCAAATGTTAGCACATTAAAATACTAAATTAAAAGGATGAACATGGTAAACATTATACCTTCTGACTTTGCCATTTAGCCCAAAGCACAGCTTTCTCTTGTCTTGTTTAAAAAGCAATGATAAATATGAGAAAAATGAAGTAGGCCAGATCTCAGTTGGTATTATTTATAATTGAAAAGTGATTTAAAGTAATAAAAATGCCATCATAAAAACAGAATCTAGAGGAATGTGTCTCAAGAGCTGTTATATCGGTGAAACCTATGATTTGGTTTTTGATTTGATGTGATTAGATTTATTTAAGTATCCTGCACCATTCATATGTGCTTACAAGACACTATAGCCAGGATTGCCACCTGATCAATCATAATATACAGTTCCACACATTCAAACAAAAGAAAACATTCAATAAGGTTCAATTTTCACGAGTTGTTTCACTGGCGTTTGAATATATTTACATGCTACTGCGGTTCTTCTTATTGTACAGAGCATGATGCCTTTGTTGCACTTACAGTTACCACTTACCACGGGCAGGTAGCTTTTGAAGCTGGTATGGCGATCCTTGTGGGTAAGCTAGCATGGCTTGTCTTCTCTTAATATATAGTAATAAACCCTGTGTTACTGTGCTAGCCCTAGTGCTGCAAACTCCCCATCACCACAGCAGCTTTCCAACTGAAATGATCCCAAAACTTTAATGGTTTCTAGTGTATTTACTGCCTGACACTGCTTTTCTCTCTTCTCCTTTTTCTCTTCCTTCGACTTTCAACTTGCAAGGTCAATACACGGCATCACTTCTTGGTGTGACAGCGATAAATGCACATGAACCTGTTCACTGTATAATACTTCCATGGATGAAATGAAGCTTTGAAAGAAAGAGGTTTTTATTATTTGCATAACTCCAGTTTCAACCCTATGCTGTTACATTAGCCACATGTTGTTGCACAGCATGTAGTGCCTGTGTACAGAACACATGTTCAGCGCAGCAGTAGCTGAAAAGCTAATAATAGCCCAGTAACAACAGAAGTCTTCAGAGCATTGTTCCATCAGGCAAATGAGTATGGCCCAGTAATGGCAGATCAATGATTACAGATGATTAGTGTTTCCCTGTGACTCTAGTTTCTATCGGTTGTAGCTGCTTGCTAACCTGTAGTCACTCCCTGAAGGGCCAGTAGCTAAATGATGGAGGTCTACAACAGCTGGAGCTGTGGATTTAGTGGCTTAGAGGGTCTGATTCTGTCTGGCTCCGGGTCGGGTAGTCAGGTCCTCCAGCTCTCTGAGGACAACTGATGGAGTACCGACTCATTAGCAGCTATGTGGATTTAGTCTCGTTAAGGAACCCTAATGGATAGATTTATCTCATTACATTTGGCACTTCATTAGAAACACATACTGTAGGACAAAGGCATGTGCGCCTGCAGAAACACAGACTCACACATACCACCATATACTGGTATTTTTCACATACTGGCATTCATTAATGTAGTGTAATAACCTAGACCAATGTACTCAGAGACTGGGCATGGCTAAAAATGTATCTAAAAATGTGTGTGTAATGCGATATATTAAAGATACCCATGTTGTTTGCATATTTCAGGGCTTAAACTCAAGGTTAAAAAGTAGTAGTAGTTGTAAAGACTACACTAATGAAATCATGTGCAGTTGAATGGAGACACAATTGTTAAAAGCTTTGTAGTTGTATTTCCCAACCGTGCAAAATCAATCGTTATTGTACTTCTATTAAGTAAGAAAATTGTTTGAATTATGAACATTTGATAGCTGGAAAGTAATTAAAGAAGGTACCATACATACTTATACTAATAAAAAGGTTGTTTGGTTAGGGACTCGAACACATCTTTTCAGTTGCAACTCTTTGTGGTTCATTTATACAGAAGTTAGATACTAGACTTTTCATTATTCACTCTTGTACTTCTCCTCACCAGCGTCTCTTTTCCAACAATGCAGAACAAAGACTGCCTCAGGGCCCCCGTACAAACTGCTTGAATTATCCTTTTTCTATTAGTATCAGCATTTCACAGCAGTCCAGTATGGGCCTCTCTCTGCGCTTCTGTTGTGGTTAAACAAAAGAAAGAGCAGTTAAAGGGCTGCTGGTGTGTTGGAGTAGCATGATTTCACTCATTGACTGGATCAATAGCAGTTACATATGATGAAATGTTAAGGCTTTTACTGCAGTTTATTCAGCTTTGGATGATTTAGCAAAAAACTCTGCTTCCAAACATGGTAAAAAACTGAAAATGCATTACAGAAATGCAGAAAGCATTTTGCAGAAGGCTGACCTGTGTATATATATTACATATTTTGGGCACATTTAAGTAAAGACAGGTGATAAAATGAACTGATATATAGTATAAAGATCAAACCCTTGTTACCATGAGCAGTAACATGTAGCAGTAAATGTTAATACTGCAATATATATATGTACATATATGTATGAAAGCCTTTGTACATGGGGTTCCTATGTACTACCAGGTGAGCTACCACCCCCCCCCCCATTAATGTGTCATATTAAAGTACAATTTAATGGTACTTTTTTACTTCTACTTCTCAGAATTTCAGAGGAAAATACTCTTGCATACTTGCATAGGAGTATTTATTGAAGCTCGATTGAGGAGAATAGAGATAAGCTGTACAAGTGGAGTCACTGTGTAGATGCCAACCCAGTTCTGAAGGTTACTTCCTGACGGGCGGTATTTAACACAGACCTAAACCCACAAGATCTACTAGTGTCCCAAATATGGTCATAACTTACCCAACTAAATGTGTGTAAAGATCCAATTGGGTAGTGGTTCAAAATAAGGAACTATGCTTACCTGAGCTACCTTAAATCACGTCGAATGACACACATAGTCACGTACAGCGCATTGTAAGTAGGAGACAGTCTGTTAGATTTATTTCTCAACCTTGGTCTTCTGTAACAAAGGGGAACTACAATATGTTGGGTTTTCAGTGTTCAAACTTATTAGCTGTTCTAGCCTAGTCAGTCAAACAGTCAGAAAGGAGGCACAGAGTTTAATTTATTGCCTAAGAAGAGGTACAAGCTGTGACCTGTGACCTCCTTTAGGTTTGTAGATAACCTCACAGTAGGATAGAGAGCACTATACCATGTCAGACAACATCACACACTCCACTACATTTATTTCACAGTTATAGTTACCAGTTGCAGATTCTGATTTTTCATACAAAACATAGGATCAGTTCATACAATCTGATGCATTGTTAGAGATTAATAAAGCAAAGCACAGTAGTAGTAGCAGAGTAGTAGTTTACTCCACTTGCTACACCCTAAAAAGGCGTCTTTCTTAATAAGTCCCCATCAATAAGTCCATTCTGTTGCATAATCAGTACTTATTTACTTTTGATACATTTAGTACATTTACTTTTTTTTATGATGTTACTATCTTCTTCTTTTACTCCACCTCTATTAGCAGTAAAACAAAGCTGTGTTTGCATGATGGTATGATGTTAACTAAAGCTTTCTATCACCTCATACCTGCATATTTCTGTTCCCATTTTGCAGATAACTTGTTTTCACCAGAGACGTGCCATGTAATTATCTTTGTCAAATCATTAAAATCTTTATTTGTGAAAGGTGGAATTAACATTATTTATCAAATGTAGAGAAATATAATAGATTATTTTGCAAGTGGTAGCTTTGCCAAATGTATGTTGTGGGAATCTCAGGCTGTCAAGACCGTCTCTAATTTGTGTTTATATTCTGCAGACAGAAGTGACAGATGCACTTTAATTGCATATTGAAGTAATTTAGTGTTCAGTGTCTTTATCTGTTGATAGGATGTTTTAGATTGCTGTGCGTGTTTTTCAAATGTGAGGTCTAGATAAATAAATGAACTGAATTACTGTTTGCAATTTCCTGAATCACCTTTTATTTTTTATTTTTATATTTTCACATTTCTGTTAAACATTAAACAGCAGACATCAGATAATTTTCAATATCCAACACATATACCAAATTTACAGTACAGTATACAGTCTAGAATTACATTTTCCTCGTTATGTCGGACCAACAGTCTAAACGTCAAAAACATTCATCCAAAGTCACATATACGAGAAAACAGCATCAAATGTTTACAGAAGCTGGAAGCCTAAATTGTTTGTTTTTATTGTTGATTAATTATCTAACCAATTAATCAAGTAATTGTTGCAGCATAGGTGTGTATATATATCTATAGATATAGATATAGATATATATGACTCAACTTTAACATGATTTGACACCTTGAATTATATAAGAATGCTTGATCATCAAAAGAAAGGAAGGCTTTTAAGAGATGATATGGAAATACAGTACAAGGTTTTTATCTAGCTGCTCCACGCACTCTTTTGCCCAGTGTGTGGTCTCTCAGCTCTGGCATCTTGATTCAACATTCACTGTGCCAATGTGACCTTTATATCCAAATGAGATTATAATAACCTCATTTAAGAGACACATTCTGGAGAGACCTGACTCCCCTATCAGCCAATGATTTGTTTGTAACAATCACTGTTTAAAAATAAATCCGTTCAATGAAGTGACGTGCTGGTTATGGTTTGGGTTAAAATAAGTACTTTGTTACAGTTAGGGAAACCTTCGTCATTGTTATAATAATAAACACGGGACAATAAAAAAACGGTTTCCCATGTTACACTACATTTTTTTCACCCATTCATCAACCACAATGTCTTCCCTACGCTACGCTTCTTCCTTTGCTCCCATCATAATTCTGGCTGTTAGAGAGGTTTGTCAGGTCAACATAAACATATGTCGATTTGAGGCACTTGATGACACGACTCTTGCTGAAAGTCAAAAAAAAAAAAAAAAAAAAAAAGACACACAACTGTAAAAAAAAAAGTAACAGAATTAAATGGTACCCACAAACAAACAAACAGACTTTAATTGGCTCTGCTCAATAAACAGTTGCTAAGTCTCTCCTAATCATTTGAACTGCGAAGCCTGCGCCTTGCAGGTTTGGCTAATTTTAATTAGAGGACACGGCATTATGTGCCAGTCAGGCTCCGGCATTGTGATTGATCCACTGAATAACTACTTTTTCAAATGAATAAAATTAATTTGTAGGGAAAATAATTTTTATCCAGAGCCAATTTAGAAGAACTGAATAATAAGAGTCCTTTAATTTCTTCTTTTATTATTTTGTGTGCACTAATTATTACACCAGAGTGCTGATTTATTTTCTATAGCAGGTTGCATCTAGGTCAAAGAGTACTTTTAAACACACTAATAGTTATTTCACCCTGCTGTAGGTACCAGGTCCATCCATCATGTCATACGTAAAACAGTCCTGATATGTGGCAGTCCAAGCAGCACAAAACAAATGGTATTGGTGTGGCCATGTTGGCAGGCAAAAGTATTTAGTTAGTGCCAAGCTTCTTTTTTTTCTTAATTTAGGGAGGTGTATGACTGTGTCCCACAGGGGCATGTGTGTGTGTATTGATGTCCTGATGGCTGCATGGGGACTCTGAGATCTACAGTGACAGGCGACACATAGTGGCACACAGCACTGACACTGATGGATGGGAGAAACAGAATGACACACTAGAAACACTAAAAACATTTCGGTGTTCTACTATTGTGATCTCTCTCCCTTGTGCTGTCTCATTGTCTTTCACAAACCCAAAACAGCACAAGCTCAGCTGTTGTATTTGACAGGAGTAAGGATCAAGGGGGCTGAATTTTTGCCGCCATCAATGGAACAGGGGCTGAAGAACGGAAAGAGCTCCTCAGTGAAGTTACATCCAGTGAAGGAGAAGATGCAAGCCCTGGCATCCACGTCATAGAAGGAAACTTGACCCTCCTCATAATCAACAAACACCCCAACCTTTTGAGGTGTCTCCCTTACATGGAGGTTAATCGTAGAGCCGGTATTGGCTGTGAACTCATTTCCTTTTCTCAGCCAAATAGTCCAGTATCCATTCTTAGGGCTGAGTCTTATATCGCCCTTCCTGTTGATCGACCGGTTCGCAACTCCTAAATCCCACTGTGTCTTGTCTTTAACCTGGACCTCATAGTAAGACTTTCCTGAGGAGAAACCCTCCTTTGCAAGGACATTAAGGACATGATCAAACCTCTGTGGTTTGTTTGGGAGATTCCTCTTCCTGTCTGCATTCGTTACTTGTTTCCCATCCTCAGAAACATTAAGACAAGGGTTTGCTGTGTCAGGATCCAGAGTCACATCCACAGCATGCCGCTGCATTTCTTTCAAGTCGGGATCGCAGAGCATCTTGATTTCTCTCGTCACTGTTGTCTCCAGCTTGGTCAAGGCTCCCTGCACGGCAAACTGGTCACTGTTTAAAGTCACATCGGACCAGTCCTTAACCTTGGGTGGAGTGATGGTGAGAGAAAGGAAATTCTCAAGGAAAACAAAGGCGTCATTGTTGAGTAAGACCTGATTAAGCTTCAAGTTGTTCTGCTTTATTTGCATAATTTCTCCCTCCAGTTCTTTAATGAAGCATTCTGTCTTTGTTTCAGTTTTTTCCTGCTGCATATGAATTACCTTAGTCAGCTCAGCCTGGCTTCTCTTAATGTAGTGCACCACAGCAGTCATCACATGCATGCTGTATGACAGCGCCTCCGCTGCATTATTTCTGCTAGCCTCCACTGAGCCTTGAATCTCGTGAATTTTCTGCTGACGCACCTCAACCATCTGATCCATGTCTTGCCTTTCTTTTCCCAGCTGGGCCTTCCTCATTTGAGCTTCCTCCTCCAGACTCACTATCTTGTGGGTTTTATGGTCACTGTCTTTACAGGACTCACATACAAACATTTGATCCATCCTGCAAAAAAGCTCCAAAGGCTCGTCATGCTTATTGCATATCCTGCTCTCCAGGTTCTCAACCGGGTTGATCAGCTTGTGCTTCTTCAAGGCTGATATTCTCTGATGAGGCTCCAGATGTGTTTCACAGTAAGACATGAAACACACTAAGCAGGACTTGACGGCTGTGACCTTTAGCCTAGTACAGATACCACAGAGCACATTTCCATTTCCTGCTTGTTCAGGGTTAGGACAAAATGGCTCTTGAATAGATTTCTTGACCTTTGCCGCCATCTCAGCAATGAAAATGTTAACCCGAAGCGTTGGTCTTTGGTAGAATTCCTCTTTACACAGTGGGCATAGGGCTACAGTGTTATTAGTGTCCCAGTAGTGTGTGATGCAGTCAAAGCAGAAGTTGTGCCCACAGGGAATCGACACAGGTTTAGCGAACACATCCAGACAGATAGAGCAAAGAAAGTTTTCCTCGGCTATTAGACTACTAGCGCAAGCCATGTCTAGAAAGTAAAGGTGAAATAATGAAAAAAGTTAGAGCAGTATAAAGTCAATTCAGATCTATTGTTGTTTGAGTTCGAAATCACTGAGATGCACTAGTTAACACTATAGGCAAAGACTGCAAACATGATAAAACCTAACTTTACCTGGTGTGGAGGTTTTTCTAAATCTTTCAGATCTGTAAAAGACTCTAGAAACAAGCGGCTCTTTTCCTCCTTTTTTAGTTTCTCTTTCAGTTGTGACGTCAGAGTGCCAGTCCCCTCCCATTTCCTTATTTAACTGGAGCAAGTTAACTCTTTGCAACCACTAGTGACCCAGGTTCAGAGCTTTTCTCTCCTTCTAAATCCACTAGAGCTTAGTTATAGACGTAGACTGTGTCCCCAGTGTTGACTTCAAAGGCTTGTATACAGTCATAAGAGGAGCGATTTCTTTAAGGTGTGCATTATTAATTTTATTCTTTTATTTATTTTTTAGTTATGTGCTTGCACAATGTTAGTGCTGCAGAAATCCCTTTCATGTAGAGAATTATGCACAAATGAAATGAAATGAGTTTGTGTGCACGTGTGTATGTGCATTTGCATTGCATGTGAGTGCTTAGTGACAGCATCTGCATAATAGACTGTTAATACACTCGTCCTGCGCGCTCTCCTCTGAGGGAAACAAGGCTTTGGACACAAAAGCTTCCCCCGAATCCTTGAAGGGCTTTGTCAGAGCTGAAAGAATCTGTGTAGGTTGCGTGCAGGTTTATGTGCATTAGCAGCATCCATGTACGATTGAATGTATTTCCGTTACTGCATGTGTTTTTTTTTGTTTTGTTTTTTTGCCACAATGTAGAAGTGTGCATATAAAATTTGGATGATGGTTGATAAATTGAAAAGAAAAAAAGTGAATTGGAAAAAGATGTGAGTGATACATTGTACTTAACCTTTCAGTGACACAAATTAATTAGCATGCAAGCAATTTGGTATGTCAGTTGACTGGGTAGGTGTGTGTTTATATATGTGGGTGTATGCTGTATGCATCATATCTCAGCATTTCAGTGCTCCATTATTTAGAAGTCGTCTATTTTCTGTCTTCTTTATTTTACAAATGTGCTGCAGCCTCAGCAGTCGTTAATGGATTCAGTGAGTGACAATATCAAGACATAAAGTAAAAGGAATGGGAATAATGTAAAGAGAATGGGACTTTGAAGATCCAATCATATGACAATAAGATGTATTTACTCAGTATTTTGAATAATGTATGTATACAGTTTATGTGCCCAGAGAAAAGCTTGCCAATGTGACGTTCTCGTCTGAAAATGGCGAGCCACCTCTGATCAGAACTCTCTTGAGCCACATCTTATTCAAGCCTACCTTAATGTCTTGGCTACCATAAAACATTCAAACAAGATTGGGATCAGATGGGGATTCCCTTTGATCCTGGTTTGTATGGAGCTCCAGGACCTAGGCCCTTCTTCTCCTCCGCAGTATCCACTGATAGGTTCATCGAAGGATGAGAGGGAGTCGGGGCTTTTCTCCTCCCATCTTTTTTTTTTCTTCTCACAACCAGAGCTTTCTTCCCCCCTTCATCCCTTTTCTCTGACCCACTGGGCTCTCGCTTGTAGGTGCTCCTCTCTCCTCTCACCTTGAATACATGAATAAGAGATTAGAGGAGCTCAAAGTGCTAGAGGACACAGACCTCCCTCTATTAGAATTGAATGCCTCCTGCTAGGTGTCTGCTCAGTTTTAAACTGAGTGCAAGTCCACTGTAAAGCCTGGTCTCTATAACACATCCTATAGCTCCAATGATAGGGGTGTAGCGCAGGCCTTGTCAACATACTGATGTTCTCAACCCCTGGATTAAAGGTGTTGCGTGGAGTTTTCTTGTAAACGAACAAAAGTTATGTTTAAATTCAGTGTTTTTCACCAAAACTCATCTTTGAGGTCTAACATATGAAAAATATGTCAATGCATTTCCTTCCTCATTAAACATTTGCAAAGACATTTTTTAAAGCATTTTAAATCCAGCATTTCTTACTTCCATGTTTACTTGCTAGTAGTCTTTTTCTTCTTCTCTGCCCTTTATGACGCATTGCTTTATACTGATATGTTACCACTGCCTGTTGGTCTGTGGATAAGTATATTTCAATTATATTTTAGTACATAACTCACATGCCATATGTTAATTGAAAGTTATTGATTGCGATAATCATTGCTCCTTTCCGATCCATACTGCCTGTAAAGTGATAGCTTTCTAGAGTAGTCGTTACTACATTCTGTTATTACTCAGTGGTGGACCACTCACTTGGTTGGACCACGGCCATCTTTGATCTCGTCCTTAATTTTGATCTCAACTACACACCTGTGCAGTGTTGTGACTGCATGGTTGTGACGCTGTCTCGTTGATTAAATCTGTACAGAGACATATCTTAACACCTGGCAAAATACTCAGAATGGCTTCTGTTTTAATTATACAGTAGGTGTCTCCAGCGGAGAAGTTTCAATCTACAACTATCTGAACACTGCTGGCGTCTGTATTTGATGACCTGGGAATGAGAACTTGTGAGCTGTGAAATGTGTGGGAGAAACTCTCAACTCTCAAAACACACTATCTCTATCTACAGCCAGTGTTTGGTTAGTTCCGGGCTACTGTAGAAACATGGCAGTTCAACACTCGCGGACTCCATGGAAGGCGACCCGTGGCGTCTGTAGATAAAAACATGCCTATGAGTGTTATATTCCATTTCTGCCAATAGATCCTCCTGAATGTTACACACAGGACCTTTCATTTATTGAAAAAAAGCGACAGCTCAATTGACAACAATTATCTTTTCAAATCCAAAAGCAACATATTAAAATTCATAGTCATAATAACATCACTCTTGAGCCAAACCCAGAGACTAACCCAACCATAGGAAAGGGAAAGTATAACCTGCCAGATTTTGTCTACAGACTGAACGTATGGTGACCGTGCTCTACAGTGTTGTGAGGGAGAAACAGGAGACTCAGTCACCTCCATCATTCTAGTTTGTTTACGACTTGGACAGAGCAGAGGGTTGTGTTATTTCCAACCCCCAGACACAACAGTTCTGGAGGGAAGATAAATAATTAGTCATGAGATGAGTTTCTCCCTTCATCCATCAGCCTGGGGAACATGGCTGCCATAGGAGAACTGAAGCCAAATGAGAGTCCTCTCCCTCCAGTGTTTTTGTTCCCCAGACACTCAGCTTTAGATTTCCCTCCTTGATAGAATGACTTTGAAACGCTCAAAAGCTTGTTGAGGACGACTCCATCTTTGTCAGGATGTTCACGTATTAAAACCTTATTTTTCCCGCAGTGCTTTTAGCATTGGAAAGAGGGAGCAGATATGCTACTTTACTTTTTCATCAAAATTTCCTCGCAGAGTAGGAACACTGAACTTTAGTTGCAAGTCAATTTAAAGAACATATTTTATGAAGCAAATCATACCATTAAAATCTTCAACTGTAATATTGCATTTTTTCCCTATCCAGATAATTTCTCATCTTCTATTTCAGCAGTGTGAAAGATTTTGGGGGTTTGTAAAGTCATACCAGGAGAAATGGATAAATTTGGGACACCAGCAGTAGAGAAGTTATTTGAAGTTCATTAAGCGACGTCTTGAAACCAAAATAGAAAATGAACACTGAATTCCCTCCTTATTGACAACACAGGAAAAGCCCATTGGTAGAAATGTATATTTGGTGTCTGGGGAATGTTTTTAATATGTCAAAGTGTGAGAAAACTCTTTGAGAGCTGTATGTTATGTAAACTGTAGCAGTACTACTTTCCTCAAATCAAATCGGACATTTTCTTGAACCCTGAGTGGTGCCTGGAGATTTAAAGGCTCAGAAAGCTTATTTCCAAATGTAAAGGCTGTTGAGCTATTTTATCTACACTCTTATTCATTAAGCATGTGGTGACTGTTGGATTTACACCACTATCTGAGATGGCCTCCAAACACCAGAGGAGTTAGATTCTCTGATAGGCTGCTTCAGCTGTTGAATTATTTATTTATGCTATTTGCCAGACGCACTGTCTGTGGCTGAAAATTCGACAAGCATTGAATGATTGAAGACTCAATGAGGTAAAATAGTTTTGGTGTTACAGAGGTCAAAAACTCCTTTGAGTGTAAGCCAGAGAAAGCCAAAAACAACATATATATATATGATGGAAACTATATATAGTTTCCATCATTTTAGTGGAATTTTTACATGAGCACAAACAGCATGAAACATAAATGCCATTTGTGATGGTAGTGATTATTTAACTCAGTGGTTCTTTAACTGTGGGGCAGGCCTCCCCTGGACGAGTTGAGTGAGGGAACAATAACCAAAGCACTTGGTCACCAAGTTTCAGGTTCACAAGATTTATTTAGACATCAAAATTACAGGTTATAATCCTTAAGATTTTCATGAAACCAAACCTCCTCCCTTTTCTTTAATCACCTCTGTAAATAGTAGTTTTGATTGTTGGTGGCGGAGTCCACCAGTCCTGTGCAAGCTTCACACTGCCTTTGCAGGCTTGAAGGATTCACAGGAAATTATGCATGTTTATTTAACTGATCACAGTGTCACTGTTCACTCTCTACAGACGTATCAGAGCTGTAAACTAAAACAAACACTCCTGCTGCTACTGCTTACATTAAAAACATTCATTGGAGAAACACACCATGGCTTTTTTTGCAAAGCAGTCACAGAAAACAAGAATGTAGACAGCAACAGTTCATCAAAAAGGCGTTTACACAATAATGGTAATTTTTGACGTTTCTTTTTTAAATCTGAATTAGTTTTATTTTATTAATTTTTGCAAGGAGTAATGGAACAAGAGTGGCTAGCTACAGTGAGCTGTAAGATGAAGACCTGCAGGTGAAAGGCTGTACAACTCCTCCTTCTACCAGTCCCTGCTGTTGTGTAAATGTGCAACAGGAAATCAGAATTATTATTATTATTAATTATTATTAACTGATTTCTTTAGTAATACAGTATGATTTTTTTTATTGGTTGAACTGTAAATAGATTCAGTTGCTCATCTGTTGTATTTTTGACAAAGTAACTGCTCAAAGAGTGTTTGCTGTAGTGTTAAACTGCACACCAGTAACTGTTTTACTGGCTAATTTAGCATCTGGCCATGGGATAACAGTTGAAAATTAGCCTTTTGGCTAATGCTGGCACATTTAGTGATGATGATGAATGTACATTGTACCCGAAAAAATGTGTAGAAACCATTCTCCCTA